CTCCTCCTTTCTTCTTTCTTTCTTTCTTTCTTTCTTTCTTTCTTTCTTTCTTTCTTTCTTTCTTTCTTTCTTTCTTTCTTTCTTTCTTTTTTTCTTTCTTCTTCTTTCTTCTTCTTTGCTCCGAATGCCTTCAGGGCAGGTTTGGCTGGCTTGAGTTGTTGGGATTGAACCACAGCAACCTGAGCCTCACTGCTTTGTTGAAGCAGCCACTTAAAGAACTGAGCTAAGGGGCAGACCCCCAAGACAGTTTCAAAGCTGGTTAATAGGACATTTTCAATAATTAATACATTGTACATTGTTATCTTCTTAATGGTTATGCATAGTACAAGAAGCAGACAGGATATCCTGTCCAAACACTATTATTATAAATCTTTCTTCTCATTGAATTAAGGGAAAGTAGCTGTATATCTATCCTAACTATTCTGTATATACATATACAAAATGGTCCTTCCTTTGTATCCCCCTTTTTTTTGTTCAGTCCTGTCAGAGATGGGTATTCTCTTGGCATCTAAATACTATAGGTGCTTGAATTCAGCAAAACAATCCAACACAGTCCAGCAGTCCACAATAGTAATGGGTTATCTGCAGAGGTTGTTGACTAGAGCTTTTTACAGCTCAGCATATTAATATAGCTTTACTTTATATACATCGTTTTTATACTTTTCTGCTGGATGGTTAAGCTCAAGATAAAGCATGACCTATATAACAAGAAATGTAACTTTTGTATCTGATAAGGTCAGTCAAGTCCCCTCAGGATTTATCCTGTATCCCTGTACTGCACTTTGTAGATCCTTTGTCAGTGTCAGCCATGGGGATGAGTCACAGCCATTGCTTGACCAATTTTCTCTCTGTGAAAGCCTGAGAGAAAGTTTTCTCTCCATGTGACTCTCCTTAGACACACTATATATCATCAATCACATTCCTTTATGGCTCCATAATCTCCTTGATCAGAAAATTTGGGGCACAACTGAGTTAGATGATGTTTCAGTACAGGTTCTCCTATGTCCTCAGTCTTCACTGACCTTGAAAGGCTAGGGCCAAAATGTTGGCTGACCTTGCAGCCCTTTACATTTGCTCTTGTACAGCAAGGGGTAGATGTGTGTACCTGGCAATGGTGCTTTAGGGCTGATTGCACAACTTGGGGTCACATAGTTTCACGGCACCAGAAGTACAGCAATATTCTAGGGGTGGTGTGAACTTGGGGTGTCAGTTGGGAACAATTCATGTAATATCCACTTTGACTTCAGGGTTGTGAGGGAAACTTTTTCTCATTGGCAGTAAAACAGACATGCTCATATTGTAGACCAGATGCAAAACCCTTATGATGGTGAAACATGAACAACATGCTGCACAGGTATTTCTTGCATGTGGCAGGGTGTGTGAGACTAGCCACAGTTCCCTGGTGGCAACACTATGCTGCTGTGCCACCCCAGGTGGAAAATCCTGAGAAGCCCCCACATAGCAGCAGGGCAGTGAGAGCAATGGTGTGGTTCTCCTTGAGACTGCTTATTCCAAGGGAGGAAGCAGAGGGAGTCTTGGGCTTCACACTCTGAGGTTCTTTTGGTTTATTAGTAAATGTTGGCAGTACATAGTGGCTACATTCACTGTAGTGCACCAGCGCATTTGCACACAACACATCCTAATCCTTTCTTTCATCCTCTTCCCCTCCCTCCATCTCTTGATCTCCTTCCCTGTATCAAAAAGATCTGTTTCCTACTATCTTTTATTTTGCTCTATATATTTTTTGTCTTGTTTAAGGAAAATCAACACACAGTCAAATAAAACCTATATTTAAAAGCAAAGCTCAGAGGGCCTAAGTGGAAATTTAAAGAGTCAGGTGAACATGGAAGCACTAAGATGTATGCTGGTTTAGAATACCCGTGATTCATAATTCTAGAACTCGGAATGGAACAGGTATTCACTGCATTACAGGTATTATTATTAGAACCAGTTCAGTGTGCTCTCTGGAAAGACACGACTATGGGTAATTCTTCTGAGAAGGGGCAAACCCCATAGCCATTCAGCCTGTGCACGCAGGGAAGTCCAGATGGCCAAACACTCAACTTACAGACATTTCCTAGTCACCTCTCTGTCTCTGTCTCTATTTGTCTCGGTCTCGGTCTCGGTCTCGGTCTCGGTCTTGGTCTCTGTCTCTGTCTCTGTCTCTTTCTCTGTCTCTGTCTTTCCTCCCTCTTCCTTTTACCTCTTCTCTCTTTTCCTTTTCTTTTACCCCTCTCCTCTTCTCTCCTCTTTCCTCTTTCTTCTGATGATTTCCACTAGGATTTCTAAAGAAGTATACATTTCCTCTCAGCTATCCTTGGCTGAGTGTGCTGGCACACAACTGGTTGTGAGGGCCTCACCAGCACAACTGTCACATACAAAAAATATGTCTACTTTCCTGAGGCTAATACAGACCTGCATTCACTGTTTTCATTGGTTTCTAGTGGTGAGGGTAATATGAAACCAAGAATGACTTATATTAATATAAGTTGTATGTTTACTTGTAAAGCATACAACAAAGATGTATGCAAATCCCTTTCAAGGAAAGATCTCTGCATGTTGGCTACATGTAACTAAGGGCCAAAGCATACTTCCCTATAATCTTAATAGTTCCAGTATCAAGCATATAGAACCATCATAAAGTTAATACTCTTTAGTACAGACTGAAAATGTTAGTGAGAGAATAATGCAGATGTATATACAGCTTGAGTGAGTATTCTCAAAACAACAAAAGATCAGCCTTTCATGGGGCTTAGTAGAAAAGCTCAAACAATGAGTCAATAATATTTAAACTGGCTGATAGCTTGTTTTCCAACCCTGGAACAATATAGTGTGTAACTATAAACCAGCAATTACCCAGAAAGTCATGGGCTTGCAAATTAAGCCATGAGTAAGTTTGCTTAATGAAAGTGAGGGGTCTTTAAAATTATAAGAAGGCTCTCTTCACACCCACAAAGTATTAAGATTTTTTAGTCTTTCTTCTTTTTCTCCTTCTTGATCTCACCTTACTCACTTCCATAAACCATCATGCCTTGATTTTCCTTTTCTTAATCCACTTTTTTCCTTCCTTTTAGCTCAGCTTATTGATTGATAACACTTTGTTATATTCCAGGTCCACTGAAGAGCTAAGAAAGAAATTGATTTATTATGTAAAACTTTCTTGGATGAATGTATGATTTTGCACTAAATTTCCATTTTTTAGATATGGGATCTCTATTAAAGACTATGGAGACTATTCATGGCATATTCCCCACCCTTCCTTGGTAGTTACGTATACATAGCAGGAGTATGTATGAAAGAAGATAATTCAGTTCAAAATCCAAAAACAAAAAAAATCCCAATATACAATGAAGTATGGCTCATCATATTTTATTTCATCTTAGTGTAAAAACTTCTGTGTGTGATAAAATATGAATAACATGTGCTTGGGAGAAAAGAAAGCTAAATTTGAGTTTCATCTCTGACCTACCCAGCAATATGACTGGGGGCTTGATTCATTGTTTAAACTCTGTATAAATCTCATAATCAATGTATTTAGTAATTGCATGCACTCTTAAAGGTTAACTTGGAACACCAAATGACATAGTATATGTAAAATTGCCTGGCACCTAATAAATACTGATAAAAATTTATGCCTTTTCATCATCTTACAAAAGATGGCACAGTTTAGTCTTTTAGCTGTAT